TGAAAATTCCTATAAATGGATCTCTAATCATCAAAGCTTCCCACATTTTTTTCCAATGTGACTCTTTTGGAAAAAAATTTGTGGCCTAAAGCATATGCTTCGTTAATTTCTTGTAAGAGTTAACATAATTTCCAATACGATTGAAATCGAATCGAATTTTGGTTAATCTTATTTCAATTCAGTTTCAGTGGAAAATCTAATCATCAACCTTCAAAAAAGTATTTGGAATGTGGTGTGGTATATGTTAAAACCAAACTTCAACATAAACTTGTCTGTTTGGGTTTGAAACTATTTAGTTAGGGTCTCAATAATCAGAATAATCTTAGAAAAAAATCTAGGGAAATCCACCTAATTTCATTTACTGTCGTATGAGTCAACAGAAAATTTATTATAACCTCAGCTATTTGTTTTCCAGCACTTATATACTCATTTCAATGAGTTATCGTTTATATGTTCACTAAAACAAATTATAAAGAATGGATTTTCGATGCTTTACCCTACAATGACCAGTTTAGTCTATCGTAGACCAATAGTTCACGAATGTGGCAATCTATGTTGTTGTCCTCTCGGCTGCAAAATAAGCCAGTTCAAGCCGGTAGAAACTACTTCAGAAGTGTTCAAGACATAGAATTGTGGCTAGGATTACGGTTTAGGGAACCGATTCGAGCATGAACTTTCATTTTCGAGTTTTCTGGTAAAGTGGGAAGAGAAGCGGAGGAGGATAATGAATATGTTTTTGACACGTCTAGGATTTATGAAAAGTTCAAGTTTCAAGTGGAACCTTTCATACGCCCTTGAAGTGTCAAACACGTATCCATTATCATCCTCCACTTCTCTTTCCATCTAACCAAAAAACTCACATATGAAAGTTCCTCCTCAAAGCAGTTCGCTAGACCGTAATCCCCATCCACAGTTCTTTTTCTTGAACACTTCTAAGCGTCGCTTCTGGCCTGCTTGAACTATCCTATTTTCGTAGCCGAGAGGACAAGAACACAGATTGCCACATTCGTTAACCATTGGTCTACGAGAGACTAAAAATTGGTCATGGTAGGGTAAAGAATCAAAAATTCATTCTTTATAATTTGTTTTAGTGAACATATAAATGATAACTCAAATAAAGTGATGGCAAATAGTTGAGGATTAAAGATTTTCCTAGATTTTTTGCTAAGATGATTCTAATTATTTAGAACCTAACAAAACAGTTTCAAACCAAAACATATCACTTTATGTTGAAGTTTGGTTTTAACATGTACCACACCGCATTCCAAATACCTTTTTGAAGGTTGATGATTAGATTTCCCACTGAAACTGAATTGAAATAAGATTAACCAAAATTCGATTCGATTTCAATCGAATCGGAAATTATTTTAACTCTTACAAGAAATTAACGAAGCATATGCTTCAGGCCACAAATTTTTTTCCAAAAGAGTCACATTGGAAAAAAATGTGGGAAGCTTTGATGACTAGAGATCCATTTATAGAAATTTTCAATATTTATTAGACAAAATTTATTTTCTTTTATGTTTTTGATCAACTAAAATTTAGGGG